GCGACGCAGAATTTATACAAGTTCCTTGGTTTTACATGTCGTTCGTAAAGCCATTTGTTCTTCGTGTACCTTCGTCAACGGTATGTGCTTGACCCTGTCAAAGATATACGACTGTAAAAGCAAAGTGAAATTTTACGTCTGTATCCAGCAATTAGTCTTCTGTGTTTCCGGATGACTGAACGAACGATTGCGTCTTTTTGGACCTGTGTGATCCCTTCGTCTTAGGGAGTAAGGACAGCAATGGCTTGATGGACCCGATGGTAGAAATAGTCCACGGCATTGCACAGACATTGTTAGTGTGGAAGAATGCGTCCCAATCGATTGACCGGATAAATTGTTGGAATTGCTTCCTATGGGATACATATTGCAGAATAGAAGCGTGTTTGATGGTTAATTTGATGCAGAAAGTGAATCGTACCATCTTGTGTTCACTACCAGAGAGTTTGTTTAATTCCTCTATGTACTTGTGACCTACAAAGTGAGTATGAGGTCGAGTATACTAGTCGCTCTTGTTTCCTCAGTAACCCACTGTAACCAGCCACCAGTTCTGAGAGAGGAAAGGAAAGCTGTATGTGCAGACGAGGGTGGTTAAGAGGACCAGTTAATCTTTGGTAGGTTAAAATCACCAGCAATTATCTTCTGTCTGTGTGGCATCTCAGCAGCAAACTGGAAACTTGTAGAGATGATAGTAACACTCGCAGTTGACGCAGTTGACGGGTTGTAGACATCCGAGTAAAATGTGAGAACCGGTTTCTGATGCAGACAGCCAAAGAGATTCGGGAATATTTGTCAGCTATGGATGATCAAGAAGTCCTGCTGCAAATGTACAGTGTAGGTATATCATGCATCCACCTCCTTTGCCTGTGCCGCGATCTTATCGGAAGAGTTGATAATTAGGATTCATTAAGGGGGAGTCTAATATATTGGGGGAGCATCACGTTTCAGTAGAGAGGATGGCTTGCTGGTCGTTGATATGTGCAAGCAAGAAGTACATTTTGTTGATAATAGATCTGACATTAAGTAGTAGTGTAGAGAACGGACTATTGGGTATGGGATCATCGTTTTGAGGTTCATTGTTATAAGCCTTGTTGTATCCAGGTATTACGAAAGCAGGAGATATGAGTGGGAGTACTGGGGTCGGGTCTACTCTTAGCAGGCTTGGTAGTATGGGTAATATGTCATTTGTGAATGCCAGTATTGCTGTGGACATGGAGGTGGTTGAGGAGGAAGTCTAAGTTGCGATTGGCGTGGCAGTTGGCTAGCCGAGTCATCTGCAAAAATTGCAGGAACAGTGGGAACAAGTGGTTTGCCTCTGCCGGGTAAGTAAGCAGTGAGAGCGCCACGGCTCTATTCCTTCCTGTACTAAAAACAAGGTCATACTGTTGGTTGTTGGGAAGGGCTGCATACCTATGAGACGGGATGGGAGGTGATCTTGGCTTCGTGACAGTTTATTTTATCATCACTAAGCATGTTATTGTGGTATGATAGGGAATTATGGCGAGGGTAACTAAAAGACATTTGTTACTGGATTTTATCGGCTGACGATGTCGCATTATATGGTGTTTGTGTGATGCATGTTGGTGGATTTTGTTCGTTTCTACCGTGTTCATCAAAAGCTTAAATCTTGTGTTGAATCCGGTGAGTGGATGTGGGTCTTCTACATTATTGGGTTGACTGTCCATGGGCGTCCTTTTGGTGTTGAGTTCAGCTTGCGACGCAGCTACAGAACCCTTGATAGTCAGCTCTTCCCAATGGTTAGAAGTTACTTCATCATTTATGAACGGTGAATTCAATTCAGTTGGTTCACAGGCGTCAAAATTGAGGTAGTAGTTAGTAAGAGTTTACTTAGGTGACAATGCAGTATCGTCAAGAACGGTTGTGACCGAGGTCCTTATCACATGAGGTGAGCTGTCGAGAACCACGTCAAAGTGCCCAGTTGCCACATTAGATAAATTATCTTTTTGAGCTTTGGTCTAAGAATACTTAACCCATATAACCGTTTGACCTGGTGATTGTGACGAAATATCACTAAGGGATCTTTGTAGAGGCGTGCGATCTGGTTTAATCAATAGGTCTTTGAATTGGGTCCGCTGGGCTATAATGAGCTGATTACGCAACAATCAGTTCGCGGATTTCTCAGTCGAAAATTTAAAAACCATAGGACAGCAGTGTTTAAGTAATTTCTATTTCAGCTGAAGGTAGTTGTATTCAATCTCGGACATGTTACAATGCAGAAGTACTGCAGTTTTAACTTTACCCAAACTAAGTCTATCAGGAAGATTAAAAAGGACCACCTTTTTCAGTCTATGTATTCATTCGTGTACCACAGACGCAACAGAGGCGATTAACTGTCCTGCCTTTCGCATTTGGGCTTGATCACGGCTTTCCCATTGGTTACTGAGATAGTCTACTGAAGCCAGGAGATCTCGGAATGGATCGACCATGGTTACTATTTTTCTCATCTGGGAGAGCTGGGATTCCAAGGAGTTGACCTTATCACTGAGCTTTGGAAGAAGATCAGTAATGGGATTAGGACTGACTCGCAGTTTGGTCGGGGCCTCAGTTTCCGTTGGCTTTGATCGCGCGATGTATGAAACACTACAATAGATGGAAATTGGGTATTGCCCACCCGAAAACACTGCACAACCACGACGCGTTTCGATGTAATTTTTCATCTCATCAGGTGAAGACAGCAGGATTTGAACCCAGGACCATTGGAATAGCAGCCAACACTACTACCCCTTTGGCTACCGGGTCACGATGGGCAATGCATTTTGTCACAACGGTAGATGACTAATTGGAGGGTCAAGTTTGGATTACACGTTGTGTGATTGGATTGCGACACGCAACCTCAATTTAATAGACTGTGATTCACATTGAAATGAACCGTAGTCACTGCGATCGCTGGGACCGTATTCCAAGTAGATGGAAATTGGGTATTGCCCACCCGAAAACACTGCACAACCACGACGCGTTTCGATGTAATTTTTCATCTCATCAGGTGGAGACAGCAGGATTTGAACCCAGGACCATTGGAATAGCAGCCAACACTACTACCCCTTTGGCTACCGGGTCACGATGGGCAATGCTTTTTGTCACAACGGTAGATGACTAATTGGAGGGTCAAGTTTGGATTACACGTTGTGTGATTGGATTGCGACACGCAACCTCAATTTAATAGACTGTGATTCACATTGAAATGAACCGTAGTCACTGCGACCGCTGGGACCGTATTCAAAGTAGATGGAAATTGGGTATTGCCCACCCGAAAACACTGCACAACCACGACGCGTTTCGATGTAATTTTTCATCTCATCAGGTGGAGACAGCAGGATTTGAACCCAGGACCATTGGAATAGCAGCCAACACTACTACCCCTTTGGCTACCGGGTCACGATGGGCAATGCATTTTGTCACAACGGTAGATGACTAATTGGAGGGTCAAGTTTGGATTACACGTTGTGTGATTGGATTGCGACACGCAACCTCAATTTAATAGACTGTGATTCACATTGAAATGAACCGTAGTCACTGCGATCGCTGGGACCGTATTCAAAGTAGATGGAAATTGGGTATTGCCCACCCGAAAACACTGCACAACCACGACGCGTTTCGATGTAATTTTTCATCTCATCAGGTGGAGACAGCAGGATTTGAACCCAGGACCATTGGAATAGCAGCCAACACTACTACCCCTTTGGCTACCGGGTCACGATGGGCAATGCATTTTGTCACAACGGTAGAAAAATTACATCGAAACGCGTCGTGGTTGTGCAGTGTTTTCGGGTGGGCAATACCCAATTTCCATCTACTTTGAATACGGTCCCAGCGGTCGCAGTGACTACGGTTCATTTCAATGTGAATCACAGTCTATTAAATTGAGGTTGCGTGTCGCAATCCAATCACACAACGTGTAATCCAAACTTGACCCTCCAATTAGTCATCTACCGTTGTGACAAAATGCATTGCCCATCGTGACCCGGTAGCCAAAGGGGTAGTAGTGTTGGCTGCTATTCCAATGGTCCTGGGTTCAAATCCTGCTGTCTCCACCTGATGAGATGAAAAATTACATCGAAACGCGTCGTGGTTGTGCAGTGTTTTCGGGTGGGCAATACCCAATTTCCATCTACTTGGAATACGGTCCCAGCGATCGCAGTGACTACGGTTCATTTCAATGTGAATCACAGTCTATTAAATTGAGGTTGCGTGTCGCAATCCAATCACACAACGTGTAATCCAAACTTGACCCTCCAATTATGAAACACTACTTTTAGCTTGTCAAGTGAGGCTAGACTTTGTGCATGCCATAATGTGAGCTATACTGATGCGAAGGCTAGATGAAGTAGCTGGGGAAGGTGGATGGAAATCAACAACTCAATCAAGGTCCTAAGAGCCTGAGCTACGGGAAAATGTTAATACAAAAATAAGCGAATGCGATACAAACCAACCAGTTTTTAGTTTCGCGCCATCGGTTCAGTAGGAGTTGGTTTCGGCTGATGTTAGTTCAAATGAATACGGGCAGTTGCACTTGTCGAGGTTGGTTTATGATGCCAGTTCCACCTATGGTCACGTGATTGCACCAAACATGTTAGATTACTGTATAAGAAATCCAAGGTGGAGGACAAGCACGGCAGTTAGGCCAATCGATGAGATCTCCGAAAGTAGGCAGAGGATATTCATCAGATTCGCACAGATTGTAAAATACACCAAAAGAAAAATATTGGTGTAAAATTCACATAGCAAGAACACGTTATACAATAATCCGAAGCAAAATTGCAATCCAACAGTGAAATTCAGCAATACGCAGCGTCCGTGGGTACAGCTACTACCATCTTATATGACCCACTTCACATGGCAAAACATAAGCATCTATAAGAGAGTTCACTGAAGGTTAACTCCCAGATTTCGCTCCGCGTTTTCAACTCTTGTACATGTACAGCAGGAGCAGACACGATTTTTACCAATTTCCAAGTTACCATCATTTCCAAGAACGAAAGACTGAGGGTGAACAATTGTTTTCGATGATTCATCTTCAGACCTGTACAATCATATGGGTGAAATCGCAATGGGCAATTACAAGGGGATTAACGATCAGTTCAAATGAGATTGATCACGTGTCGATCAAAGGCATGAACCAGTAACAAACAGAAAACTAGGGTTGAGGTACCGTTGCACAATTGCAGTTGCTGTCCGAAGGATCCGTTTTGGCTGGCCAAGGTAGCTGAACAGCTTCGATCAGCTTCTTTTGTGCACACAAAAGAGGTTGGTACAACCGAATGCTGATCGCCTCGGCAGTAGCAAGGGTCCGGAGGCGCAGGCCTTTCGACTGGAGTGGAGGGACCCTGTACAGTATTCGAAAGGCACCGACTGGGTCAACCTCATGCCCACTATCAACCAGATGAGCCATAACTGAGCTAGTTATAGCTCCAGTACCGCCTCGACGCAACCAACGTGGTAGGTGCTCCTTAATGCGTTTCGAAAGTTGCCGCGCCGTTCGACCGATGTAAGTAGCGCCACAAGCGCACTTGAACTGATAAATTACCATAGAAGCGGTCAGCGTCGGTAACTTGTCTTTGTTGTAAATACGGATGAGTGGCTCCGTGGAAAAGGTACACCTAATTTTGGCTGCTGGAAAAGTTGACTTGACAGCTGTTGAAAGGCTTCTAGTTACACGCTCAGCAGCGGCGTCTCCCTTGAAGGGTAGTCGTATGAAAAGTTCTTTTTTCTCTGCTGTCTGAACCTGTAACTGGTCAGGCTTACTTTGCATGTTCCTCAAAATGAAACGATCAGGATATCCGTTTTCGCGCAGCAAATTCTGAATGAGCGTCAACTCATTATCCAACTTGTCTTCAGAACAGATCCTGTGGGCCCTTGTGGTTAGACAGCGAATTAGGTTTCGCTTATATCTCAACGGAACGAAACTGTGAAAGTTCGTATACTGGCCACTCCAGGTTTTCTTCCTGTAGACTTGCCGTTGGATCGAGCCGTCTGCCCTTCTAGTTAACAGCACATCAAGAAACGGCAACTGATCGTTCAATTCCTTTTCGCAGGTGAACTGCAATGATCCGTGGGCCCGATTAAAGCGGTCAATAACAGCGTCAAGATCAACAGACTGGTCGGCCACGACAAATATGTCGTCCATATAGCGGTGGTAACATTCAAAGGCCGTGATCTCCTCATGTAACTTGGTATTCTCTAATTTCGCCATGAAGACATCAGCTAACAACGGACCCAATGGCGATCCCATAGCTACACCATCCTTTTGTCGGTAGTAAGTGCCATTGAATAAGAACTGTACGTTCCAAGTGCAACGCAAAAGAAGGCTTTTCAAGTCACGCAACGGTATGCATATACTTGCTTTTGTTTCTTCTATGTAGGAACAAAGGTAATCGATCGTCTCGAAAAGTGGCACGTTGGTGAAAAGCGATACAACATCCAAGGAAAACATTATTTTCTTATCAATGTTGCGATCTTTGATGCTTTCGATGAAATGAAAGGTGTCACGAAGGCTGTAGTGTGTAAGTCGCTGTCTTACTGGCTCTAGAATTTCCACAAGCCATTGGGCGACGGCATGGTAGGGTGAATTAACCATTGATAAGATCGGGCGAAGCGGGACACCTGTCTTATGAATTTTTGGTAACCCATAAAGTCTCGGGACATTCGTGCCACTCGGCTTCAGGCTATCATAAAGTGTATTTGATATATGTCCATTATTCCGAAGATCTTGCAAGCTTTTAATAATTTGGTTTTCAATCCTCTCTGTCTGGTCCTTTTCTCCAATCATTCGGGAAAATTTCGATTCGTCACTCAGAACCTTTTCGAGCTTGTTTATATAGTCTTCTTTATCTAACAGAACGACTCCAGTACCCTTGTCCGGTCTGCTCAGAACGATATTACCATTGCGTCGTAAATCCTTCAGCGCGTCAAGGTGCTTGCGTGTCAGTGGACCGTGAGTGTGGACATGGCACTTGCGATACTGGTAGCAGGTGTTCACTAAAGAACACTTAAAGCGTTCCAGGTCTTCATTTGACTTAGCTACTAGCCCTTTTGTTTGGCCAAACAGGCTTTCAAACTGTAACTCATAGTGAAGCTGATTGTCTTTGTGTTTGGGAGCGCAAAACTTTGGACCAAGCGATAGAACTTCCATTAAAGTGGAGTTCAATTTCATACTTGAAAAATTGTGCACGTACCTCTCAGGTCTATTAGGGAAAGTGGATTGCGGCTTATGCTGATTCAACGTCTTTGTTAGGGCCAAACGCCTTTGTCGTACACGGTTTGCGGTGATAGACTGAACGTAATCCAGGAATGATTGTTTCATGTCCAACGCTAACTCGTCAATCACATGTTGACGTTGCGCTATATTGCGTTCGAATTCGGGAATCTTGGATTGCACCGTGTCACGCTGGTTCAAAGTATGACGTCTAAGCGTTTTGGCATTCGGGTAGATACGACTGCGGCGCAATTGCTTCCAAAATCTGCTAGGATATTCGTTGCCTTCAATGCAATCATCGAAGAATTGTACACAAGTTTTAGCCTCGGCAAGCCTAGTGGAGAACTTAAGGAACTGATTTAGTTCCTTCACCACTGAGGGCGGCTTGGACGATTTCAGTAAGTGGAAAATTCCCATTTCATTATCAAGAACGAAAGACTGAGGGTGAACAATTGTTTTCGATGATTCATCTTCAGACCTGTACAATCATATGGGTGAAATCGCAATGGGCAATTACAAGGGGATTAACGATCAGTTCAAATGAGATTGATCACGTGTCGATCAAAGGCATGAACCAGTAACAAACAGAAAACTAGGGTTGAGGTACCGTTGCACAATTGCAGTTGCTGTCCGAAGGATCCGTTTTGGCTGGCCAAGGTAGCTGAACAGCTTCGATCAGCTTCTTTTGTGCACACAAAAGAGGTTGGTACAACCGAATGCTGATCGCCTCGGCAGTAGCAAGGGTCCGGAGGCGCAGGCCTTTCGACTGGAGTGGAGGGACCCTGTACAGTATTCGAAAGGCACCGACTGGGTCAACCTCATGCCCACTATCAACCAGATGAGCCATAACCATCATTTCACATGTATTTACCTAGGATTTACAGTCTACACTACCTATACCTCAGTGAGTTCCTCTGGCATAAACCCAATTTTGCCAACAATATTTTTTATACTTTGAAGTTTCATCATAACTCTCCTACGGGACCTGTTAAGGATTAGCTTTTTTACCCGTATACTACCATTGTTCCAAAACTACACATACTTCTCACCAGGTGAGAGGCTGCATCCATAGCTGGCACCGTTCACCGAGTGGGGCATGTTTGTGTGACTGTCTTTGAGCTTGTTCCTGGCACTGCGCGCGGCACACAGAATTGCGCGTAAACGTAAAGCGGAGGGTACTGTTGAGTTTCGGGGGCATTGCAACCACCAAGGGTTATTTAAATTGTGTGCATGTCCCCACTTCACACTGTGGATGCTGTGTAATTCTTGTTGAGGCAGTTTAGTGGACGCATTTCTCCATAAGAACTATGTCAGGTAGCTTCCGACGTTACAAATAAATTCTGTTACGCTTTCCCATGACATGTGTTTTGTAACCAAATCCACAGGACGGGATTTCTCATTAGCAAGAAATGCGATGGTGTATCGGCCATGTACTTTAATATAATTAGTGTGTAATCCCAATTACGAGGCTTTCGTGTTGAATATGCCGAAATACTACTGTAGAAAGATTGCAGTTCTTTACGGCGAAGCAAATTCGACAACATCATCAATCCGCGTTATAGTTTTAAAAGCCAAAGTGGACAGAGCTGGAGTTCCTGGCACTGGTTCCGAAAGTTATTGGTAGATTCGTATCTAACTGACGTTTGGCAAAGATATCAGCAGGTTTTCTAAGGTTGTTTTCTCAGTTTTCTTCTTGCTACCACGAATTGTGCTGCAGAATTCCAGAATGTGAATGGGTGGGGATTTACAAAGGTCAGTTCGGGACAGGGTTTGCTGGATCATTAAGATATATTACTTACAGTTTGTCCTGCCAGATGCATCCGGCACTCGACCTGCCGATAACTGTTGATGGTACAAGAACACTTGAGTTCGAGAGCGCGTGTAGACATCTGTACACAAAGTTGTTAATCATTAAGTATAACATATGCTTCGGGTGCCAAACAACCCAGATACGCGAGGCCTAATTTTTTCACTGCGAACTTTATCATCCATGTGTCACGCCATATCGCGTGATTTAAGATAATTCTGCAGAGGAAATGGTGTGTTTTGTATTCATTACGTCCAAGTCGTAGATAAGCTTTGTATTATCGGCGAATATCATTGGAAGGCCAGGTTTAATGACTATGCTAATAAGAGTAGCGTCAGGCAGGAACAGCAGCAGTCCGATCACACCTCTTTGGATAACACCATGGGTGATTGAACGTGAGGAAGTGATAGTTGCCCAAACTGAATATCTAACAACGACTACTTAGTTATGACGATGGCTAACCTAATAGGGGCTCAAAATTTAGTCTGTGAGTCACCCAATGGAATGCGTTTTGCACTTCCCGAAACATAGCTATGCTTACGTCACCGGAACCAATATAAATTGGTTTGTAGTTTAGATCATGTAGTTCGCAGATTGCTCAGGGCTGTTTGTCAAGGAAACCATGCTGAGACCTCCACCTTTTTCAATGATTTCATGAATTTCGTTACACCCATTCTAACCAGTTTAGAATAAATTGACTTTATAGGAGTGTGATTGATTGCTAGGTAATTTTCGATTAGGACCGTCCTTGTAACGAGGGATGATAGATGATGTTTATCTTTAATTTGGGAAGCGACTGGATTCCAGCGATGCAGCAAACTCCTTTGACCAAAGCTGTGATATATCCAACTCACCAATTTTTATCACGGATGGGGGGATGCAATCAGCAAGCGGGATGGAGTAGAGTTGGTAGAAATTAATTGTCTGATGGTCATTACAGGGAGAAATATTGCTTCTACTTACCGAACTGAGATTTGCTTTACCTGCGACTGGATTGGCTCAACCGTTCACTCGCTTCACCAGTGAGTTGTGTTATCCATTGTTACACACTGCATCTTAGTTTTATTAATCTTACGACCGGACACTCAGGCAAAATCCGAATAGTAGTGGGGGAAGACCGCCAGATTTCACACCACAATGACAGTTTACTATCATGAAACAGCGACAGATCTGACCAGTGATTGGAAATGTAACTCAAGACGTAGGTCATAAAAGTATGCCACAGATGCATACTTGTCTTCTTCACTACCTAGTCTAGATGATATTACTTTGTCATTCATTGGTCTGGTCTGGGTCGGTAACACCAGGAAGGTTTTGTCTATCCTCACAGACACAGTGGATCACGCTCGGTTAACCTGCTAGCGATTTGGCAGGACGCTGATAAGCTTTTGTGCTCAGTCAACTGACTATAGCCGCTGGCGAGAAAAGCTGCCCAGTTTCGGACTACTCGGAAGTTGATTAGAACAGAAACGACAGTGCGTTTTCATTTTGTCCAAATGGATGAGAGAAGTTAGGCAAAAGAGTAAACGGATGCTTAGCTTTCTATGATTAAAGGGTACGGTATGAACAGTGAAGTCATTGTAGGGGTACGCAGTATGATACAATAGTTGAATTATTTATGGCCGTACCCACTAGAAATTTTAACCCATAGAGATTAAGGAGGAGCAAATAGGCAACCACCGGAGTCCAAGGTTATGTAACACGCGCTGTATAGAAGGCTGGCAAAATAGAACACCCAACAGTCTATAGTAATCTCTACGTTCCCCGTCTCCATGCAACGTCACACTCTAAGATGACAATACAACGAATCAGTCGAACTATATTCAAATTTGTAGGAAACAATAAATACATATTGGTGAAGCTTTTCGGTGTGGTTAACTAGCAAGATGGACACTGAAGTTGCAAACTGCAAATTGGTAAGTAGGATTACATTGCAATAAGGGTAACGCCTACAATGGCTGAAGGGGTGTACTAAACACTGAAGACTAATCTTGTTCTCACTGCTAGCTGATTTGATTAAGCACACCCATGCCCGTAAAGAAAAGCAGTCGTTTAGGGGAGGTTGGTGACATTTGTACACCAACTGGATGCGAAAGGCATCTTTATTATTGCACAAGCAGAGCATAGTGGTGCCCCTGTGGTAGCCGTTTACTAAGGCTGGAACCCGTCGGTATGCTCGGTAAAGAAGGTTTAGGGGATTAGTGTTAACTCAGGTCTTGAACGCCGGCTCATACATGTTTGTGAAACTGTCTACCTGTGCAATGCCGATTTAGTAGCAAGTTATAAAATGATGCTGATTACATAAAAGTTGAATCCATGCGACGGCAGTATGCGTTCCCCGCCCCCATAAAGCGCGGTATCAACAAGATCAGCGGATCTGACCTACATGCATTCGTCAATGCTCCACAGAAAAACGAGTGACGGCCGACTCTCGATGGGTTTACAGAGCATCGACCTAAAACACACCACTTCCGATTTCATATTGAGATCAGAGAAAATTTTCTGCCCATGCACCGAAACCCAAAGTCTGCACAACAACTTTGACTACCCCATGGATAACTCAGCTGGACCCCATCAAAACCGTAACGCAGTAAATTCCAGCTATTGCCGACGCCAAGATCGAGATACAGGGTATGTCCTTTTTTCGAAATGATCGCGTCAGCATGAGATGTGGAGTCCTTTTTTGTGGCCCCAGCGACATGCAGTGCCGGAAATTGCATGACACAGACTTACTTTGGTGCCTTCTGCGAGTAGGAATTAATGACGCCTTCCATGTCCCAGTACTTTGCTGCCCTTTGCTTTTCCCTCCAGAGGCAATCGCTTTGAGAATGGTGTCGTGACTAAGATACGGCCATGTTCTCATCCTAGATGACTTTGATTTTCATAACCTGAAAGCTCCGGTACCCCCATTAAAAACCGTTCAAATCCAACCAAGAGTTTATTGCAAGCATTCCACCCTTCAGTCATGTCAGCTCACCTACTAGGTTCAGAGTGCCAAAGGAGCCATCAGCATATAATTTAGCGCCTTTCAAAAGGATTGCGTTATTGACAAACCAATGGAAGAACGTCCAATTGGGCAGAGTAACCATTCCCAAATAATCTGTGACTACGTGTGTTATGCCAATCATTCGCAGGTACACACTGACTTGGTGCGTACACTACAGCATACTAAAAGAATTCGTTCAGTAGGCAAGTTAGGATTTTTCGGATAAGGTTTCACTGCAAGCATCTAGATTAGTGGTTCCCAACCTTTCTGAGGCCATTACCCCCAAAGCGGGTTCACTTTAAGCAGTTACCCCCAAACTTTCTAAAGCCAATTAGCTAGCAACTACTGCACTTTTTCTTTAAATTACGACAAATGAATACCATATGTAATTACTTTCTAGCAAGCAAATAAACGAGACCCTCAAATTGTAGTGCGAAGAAAATCCATAAGTTTCTTTCATTAAGTATCGCGTTCAAACGATTCATGCTGATGTCCTGAACGCGACTTTGATGGTGCTGTTAGAAAGTGATATCACAGTTATCCTTAACGCATGTTGCTGTACACCGGCGATTCTTAACATTTTTGTGCCTCTCACAAATGAGGTTTGCTGTAATCAACCCGCCCCTCCCAATTTCCGCTCTAAACGCTAACCAAGGAATAACTATCGCGCGGTTTGCTTCTAATTACGGGAACTGATAGCTATTTGGAACAACTCTAGATAAATAAAAGAAAGAAATCAGTTGTTTGGTACAACATTGTATGCAAGGAAAAGGCAATATACGTCAATGAGACGGTTGATATTGCTTAGCGCTAACCATTTCTGGTATATTTGGTTCCGT